GTGCGGGTGTGCGGGTGTGCGGGTGTGCGGGTGTGCGGGTGTGCGGGTGCGGGTGTGGGTGTGAGTGTGATTATTTCTGTGTGTATTTGCATAAGCGTGAGCGCATGTGTGTATATGCGGGTATATATACATATGCATATGGAACTCCTACAACATCAAATAAGGTATTGAGTCACACTATTGGATGAAGTAAAGCTTCAGTATCCTCGAAATTAAATTTTTGCAACCATTGTGCCATCTTTTTACATTCGAATCTAATTCAAAGATGTTAAGTTGGCGATGGAGTCCATTATATAGAAAACATCCCAGGAAGCATCTGAATCTGATGGTTGCAGTATCAGGTAAAGATTACTATGTTATAGTGCAATGAGATCTATTTCCGTACTATCCCAAATTTACTGTCGATCGGACAAAATTTTAATTTTTTTTCTGCTGATGACTTAAACAGCTACGTCTTTAAATAAAAAAAGTCTTTGAGATTAGTCTAGCCCTTTGGGAGATACGTTGAACAGACAGGCACGCAAATACACAGACAAAGGCTTCAAATTCATAACACCCTTTTTTTGGCTCGGGAATTAAAAATTAAAATGCAGGACAGACGTTTAATGACATCAAGGGGCATCTACTTGTAAACTCAACAAGCAACAATTCTTTTTTATTTACTAAAACCAAAAAGGAGAATTATTTATTTTTGTACGTTTTCAAAAGAATAATAAACAATTTTGCATCTTCGTCTTTTGTCGCTCTTGAAACTTACATATATACAGTTGTAATTAATTAATCAAGAATAATATAACGTAAGGAATATTAATTCTTTACCATATCATCGACCATAATGAAGACTACGTGAGACGGTTGTGGGCGATATGCGACACACGCGCAGACCACTACTAAGTTGATCCAAACACGATGCCTGAAAATGTATTACGACATTATAACAATGAAATATCAAGCTAAATTTCAAAACGTAATTCCTCTAATCTTATTCCAAAGATCATTTCTTCTACAACTAGAGGTATAATGAAATCAACGAACATTTTAATTTAAAAACAATTTGTACCGACGACCCGACGAAATAAAATGTGAAATATTGGACGTAGTTAAACAAAAAGTATCCAATGCACGTCCAGTCACTTTCAAGATATGGTAATTTGAAGTTTAAAAGTGCTTCTCACTCTTGTAAGTATTTCTCACACTTCAAAACTTATAATGTCATGTAACTCCAGAGATATTTATTTATGTTCATATGTTAGATTTTTTTGCTGACCTAAGAGGTTAGACTTTAGCAACCGTTTGATACATATAACTAATTTTTTCATAATTTTATGCGTTGGGTCCTTTTGCCTAACTTGGTCCTGTTAGAAAATTATTTGACATTTGACATTACATTGACAACACAGAGCACTAATGTCACTATCAGAGTACGCTACTGTACACAGACGACCTTATTGATAAGTAGCAATTTCTTCCAAGTAACCTCAAATTTTCACAAAATATTTTTTTAGTAAAAAAATATTTTGTACTAATATAAACTATGGACTACGGCACATAAACTAAATATTAGATTTCAAAACGTTTACACCACATCAATTAATTTCATACGGTGGCGTGATTTGAAATATATATGTAGAGCTGTATTTTTTAATTGTATATGTAAAATTCTACCCAGTATTTATTATACAATCTAAATTATATTACAATTTACTACACGTTGTTACAAGTAATAACATGATAACAATTACCAATTTTTACTTACTTGTACCTACAGTCCTGCACACAGACGATACAGTAACTTGGTATAAATACGAAGAGCAAAATAAATCAAAGAGCTTTTACTATAAGATTTTTAGATATAGATTTAGAGAAAATATTTATCTTTCAATATACCTAGATTACACTATGTAACAAATTTTCAAACAGATTCTGTTTCTGGTTTTGCAATATTGCTATTACATAATTTTTGTTATTGGCTGTTCTTTGTAAGAAATATAAGCTACATAAAACACAAAACAAAGTTTCAGAGAACCTTGTTTTGTGACTGTGACAGTCATATTTACACAACTGCATATTTACTTATAGCAACACAACATAATAGTATTTACATAATCTCGCAAAATTAAGTATTTTGTCAAGAATTTGTAGAATTTTGGTTAAAATATACTTACTATTGATTTCAAATATAGGAGATTCATAATTCGACTGTAATTTTTGTGTATGTTACGCGGTTACTCTATTACTATTAGGCGGTTACTATTTGCGAAACGATTTCAATGATTCTTTTTTGTTGGAAAGAGGGTACCTTAGAAGTGTTCCTATGTCAATTTGAAGAAAATATTCCATCTCCAAGGGTGACAAACTAGGGGACGAACTTTGTACTGCGGTTTTTTTAGTACTTTGTTCTGCGATTATGTGTTTAAATGCAAAATTTAATTTATTTAATTAAGATAAAATACAGGTGAGGTAAAAAGACAATAAAAGGTTAATGAACTACTAGAAAGTAAAACTAGGATTTTTTTATTATAGAAATAAAATTGGGTCCCCGCAGCAAGGTGCCCAAGATACGTTGCTCCTTCCTTGCTCCCTCCTTTGTATTGCTATGCTAATGCCTTGGACAAGGTAGCTGCCCTTGGGTTTCCCAGACAGTCTGTTAATTTTTTCGATAAAATTTTGTACAGATGAAGGGCACTGGGATCCCATGGACAAAGGGGTTCGCTTCAAAGGCTATAAGAAAGTAGTCGGAGCCCGAGATCCTGATACTTATTACTTTTTATTCTTTCCGCCAGCTCAGCTGAGAAGCCAGCCCTCTTGCTGGTGTGCTGGAGATGGGATGGGACAATTGTGTCGGCACATGTGGCGTCCACACCAGTGCCCGGCCCATACTCCAAGGGATGAGTCATTCTGTCCGGGCGTTTGCCATCTGTTTAAACAGAGATAAACCCGACAATTTTTGCGTTTTCTTAATGGTACGCAAATTTTACTTTTCGTTGTCTCGTCCACAATAAACGCAAAGTTTTTGCATGGAAATAACCTTTTTTCATGTTTTTATGATAGAACCAATTAGACAATAATATTGATAACCCAGAAACAAAAATCGTGTTACATGGTGTTATCTTTTGGTGTGGAATTAATAATATTTCACACCTCGTGGGTCAAATAAATTATGTTTAATATATTTTTAGTTTAGTTTTAATTCTTTAAGACTCAGTATCTGTACAAAACTGTGTTCATATTCGATATTAGGTTAAAATCATTTTAAACTGTTTTAGTGCCATTAAGCCAAATATTTATTTATAAAAAAAGACTCTACACGACTCATGGTGACTACAAACGACTTTACCTTTTCTCGCGAAGTAAAAGTATGTTCTTTACAAAATTTGCTGAAAGTTGCTTAGAAACATAATCATTTCAAATAACCATACTTGAAATAAAAAGTATGTACGTATTCAATTTAGATAAATCACTCCTGTAACTCATTTGAGCCACCTTTACCGAGAACTCATGTTTGACAGGTTTAGGGCGATAATTTTAATTGGAATAGTATTCAAAATAGTACGAACACGGCAGACATTTCCGCTGTTTAAATACTGCATTAGCATTTTTTAAACAAAAATCTACATTAGATACTCCATAAACTTGATACCAATTCAACACTTACCCTGTTTTATATATAATTTATTTAAAAAAATAGATAAAAAAAGTTACGCGTAGAGTTCAGAATGATTTTTTGTGAAAGAACCTTATAAAAAATTTTAAATACTAATCCAATTTTTTTTAAATTCCATATCGCCATAGAAAGCAAAATCAAGAATTTTAAATGGTTATTTTAGCCAACCACTGTTTAATAAAATGTGGGATATTATTAAACAGTAGTTGGCTAAAAGAACCTTATAAAATGCTGGGCTGGGCAACAGAATAAAAAAAACGTTAAGTAACTTACCATCTCAAAATTGTAAACATTGTCATTTATTATACTAGACACAATTTACTGTTTACAAATATTTCATAATAGCCGTTTATAACGGAGATTATACAATGGTGCAACTTATGGATTGATTAAAACTGTAATAATTTGCCGCGATGATGTGCAAGTTACCAAGTACCGACTGCCGTAAGCGTTCGACCGACACAACACTGAAGCCAACACCACGAGAGGCTACGTCGCAACACTCCACAAGTAAGGTCTAAATTGCCTATTTGCGAATGGACTGACGTCATTTGAGGCATTTTTCCTCTTTTACGTCTATTCTGTGGAATTCCCCAAGTGTTGACCCATTCTGAAAAAAATTACGTCTCAACAAGTTATATGACAATATATATATTTCTCCACATACACAATTATACAATTATAATACAATATACAATTATAATAGTTGGATATGTCGTATAATAGAGTCATAATACGTGAAAAACGTTTTTATCACAAAAGAGTCATAAAAACACGTTATGTGTACGTGAGATTCTATAACTCTCCTATTTAAATATAAAAGTTATCTCCTAATTTCGTTCATAAGCTCTTCTAGCCAATCCCTTGCAAAGTTGTCATTTTGCAAATGCGGCCTTATTACGCCAAGATTGCGATATAATTTATTGAGGCTCTTTATCCTTTATAAAATAAAGTATAAGGTAGCTTTTAATCTCAAGTCACGCCACTTCATGTCACGTCTTCTGCATTGCGTTTATATATCGAAAGTATACATAAGTATAAAGCTTTTAAAGTAATCTGTGATCACCAATGGTCGGAAAAAAGTGTTCCACATATATAGATGTACATGTATATATATAGCTACAAGGAGCGACATATAATTGTTAAAACCACCAAATATTAATTAAATACTGTTTCGAATTCTTTTATATGTATTGTTTTGTGTGCAATAAAGTATAAATAAATAATCCTGCAGGTAAACCGGTGGTAGCTTCTAGCTTGTAGATCTTCGGACAAAAAGGGCTTCGGGCGCAAGTATTAGCAGGCAAATGACTTCTCAGGTGCTAAAATCTCTACTGAAATCTCATTACGCTATTAAAATCCTATTACGCATCTATACAGTTAAATGGAAATACACACATCAACACTGTCTCGGGATATTTCACGTTTATTAGAATAACTCCAAAAGTACTGATCATATCAAAAAGATTTAAACGTCAATTTGTTCCGGGCACATTTTTTCTGTATTCTAAATTCAAATTTAAAACAAAAGACCGATTGATGCGATAGTATTTTGTTAACTTTGTTACGATAGTTTGTTTTCCTCTGTATGACTTAAAGATTTAATTGTTTTTAAACGCAATGTAATTTCATTTCACAATTTTATATACTACATTATTATTGGTGGTTGTTTCTATACTATGGAACGCTGACCTAAGGAAGAGATGTTGAGAGCCGTAGGCATGCTAGATGCCGGCGCGATCCAGTGCAACGTTGCTGATGCCATTGGCACCAGTCAAAGCGTCACATCAAGATAATGGTCTCGCTACAGAGACACTGGCGATGTGGTTGAGCGGCACACAGGGAATAGTCGGGTGACTACCGCAAGACACGACCGATTTTTACAAGTTAATCATCATCATCATTCAGCCATACGACGCCCACTGCTGGGCATAGGCCTCCCCCAACGATCTCCACGACGATCGGTCCTGCGCTGCCCGCATCCATCGGCTTCCCGCGACCTCCACCAGATCGTCGGTCCACCTGGTGGGGGGCCTACCCACTGAGCGTCGTCCGGTGCGCGGTCGCCATTGAAGAACCTTTCCGCCCCAACGGCCATCGGTTCTCCTAGCTATGTGCCCCGCCCACTGCCACTTCAGCTGAGCAATTCTTCGAGCTATGTCGATTACCTTAGTTCTCCTACGAATTTCCTCATTTCTGATTCTATCACGCAAGGAAATACCGAGCATCGCTCTCTCCATTGCCCGCTGAGTGACCTTGAGCCTTCTTATGAGGCCCATAGTGAGGGAACACGTTTCTGATCCATATGTGATCACTGGCAATACACACTGGTCAAAGACTTTCGTCTTGAGACATTGAGGTAATTTGGACGCAAAGATTTTTTGGAGTTTCCCGAACGCTGCCCATCCGAGCTGGATTCGACGAGAGATCTCTTTCTCAAAGTTGGACTTACCTAACTGGACTGTCTGCCCCAGGTATACGTAATGGTCAACAACTTCGAGTGTAATGCTCCCAATTTTAACTGGAGCGGGTACAACATGGACATTCGACATGATCTTCGTCTTGTCCATGTTCATCTTAAGACCCACTCTTTGGGAAACAATACTGAGATCTTCGAGCATTGTGTTCAGGTCTCCCAAGGTCTCAGCCATAAGAACTATATCATCGGCAAATCGAAGGTGTGTTAGGTACTCGCCATTGATGTTGATGCCAAGTCCTTTCCAGTCCAGAAGCTTGAAAATATCCTCCAACGCAGCAGTGAACATCTTTGCAGATATCACATCTCCCTGTCCCACGCCTCGTTGCAGTTGGATAGGATTAGAGCTCTGATCCTGTAATCGGACTGACATAGTGGCATTTTGTATAAGTACCTTAACACCTCTATATACCTATAGTCTATTTGGCACCTTTGGAGATACTGCAGCACCGCCCAGGTCTCGATGGAATCAAAGGCCTTCTCATAGTCCACAAACGCTAAGCAAAGTGGCCGGTTATACTCCTCGGTCTTCTGTATAACCTGCCGCAGCGTATGGATGTGGTCTATGGTACTAAAACCCTTTCGGAAACCGGCTTGTTCGGGAGGTTGGAAGTCGTCAAACTTGCGAGCGAGACGATTCGTGATAACTCTCGAAAACAACTTATAGATATAGCTCAGAAGCGAGATTGGCCGATAATTCTTCAAGAGTGTTTTATCACCCTTTTTGAAGAACAGAACGACCTCGCCTCTGCCCCATGCCTTCGGCGTTTGACCTTCGACGATGACAGAATTGAAAAGCTTCTGGAGGACTTTAAGTATCGGCTTTCCACCCGCTCTCAGAAGTTCTGTAGTGATTGCATCATCGCCCGCCGCTTTGTCGTTCTTGAGTTGTTTGAGAGCCACACTAATCTCATACAGGCTGACGTCCGGGATATCTTCGGTATAATGTCGGGTAAGCTTGGCTCTGGGGTCTCTAACCTCGCTTTCAACAGGTGCTATCGTGGAGTATAGCTGTCGATAGAAACTCTCTATCTCCCTCAGGATTTCAGGCTTAGATGAAATGATGCTACCGTCATCAGTCTTTAGCTTCGTCAGTTGGCTTTGCCCAATAGACAGATCTCTCGCGAACACCTTGGAGCCTTTGTTCCGCTCAATGGCCTCTTTAATACGCTCTGTATTAAATTGGCGTATGTCGCTTGTCAAAGACTTCGATATCTGCCTTTTTAGCCGCCTGCAGTGACTTGCATCCTCTGAGTTCTGTAGCCTCATTTCATTTCTATGTTCCATGAGATGAAGTGTTTTGTCGGAGAGTTTCTATATTCTGGTACGATGGGTTTTGAAAAACTTGGACCCAACCGTACGGACAGTGTCCACCAACACGTTGTTTACATCGTCCACATCTATGCAGTTTTCGAGGGCTTCGAAGCGGTTTTGAAGTTCGAGCTGAAAGCTCTCGGGGTTTTGGAGTTGTGCACATTTGGTCGGAGCGTCGACTCTATCAGTCGAGTTCTTTCCAGCCGGATATTGATATTCGATGTGACTCGTACCAACCGGTGATCACTTCCTGTCTTAACGGTGTTGATCACAGAGTCATCATTGAATATATGCTTTTTCGTCGACATGATAAAGTCAATCTCATTTTTTATTCCGTCCGGACTCATCCAGGTCCACTTACGAGTTGGAGATTTCCTGAAAAAGATGTTCATCATATAGAGGTTCTCCTTTTCCATGAAATCAACCAACATCCGGCCTCTGGCGTTCCGTTGTCCAACTCCAAATTGCCCCACTCTCAGTTCATCACCGCAACAATCGTGTAGTGGGTTTTGTAGCTATGCATAGCTTTTGAGATCTCCTCATACATAGCCTCCACTTCGTCATCTGGGTGTGTCGAGGTCGGAGCATAAACCTGAATGACATTCAACGAATATCGTTTTGATGTTCTGAGTATCAGGTATGCCACCCTGGTCGACACACTTCTGATGGAAATCACGTTGTTAACAAGGGACTTGTGGATAATAAACCCGACACCGCCAAGGGACTGTTGGTCGCCCTCCCGGTAGTACAGTAAGTTGCCGGAATTAAGGATTATCGAGTCCTCCCCCTCTCTTCGGACTTCAGATAGCCCAATGATATCCCAGCGTAACTTACTAATAGCTTCTTCCAATTCTGTGAGCTTTGCGTCGGTCCTCAATGTGCGCGTGTTGTAGGTTGCCAGGTCCAGTCGTCGTCGTTGATGGTAGCCGGGTCTCCCCCGGGGATTCTTCGCACCCCATGCCCTGTTTCCGAAGCCGCTACCGTGACTAGGAAGAGCAGGACAGCCGGGGACTAGGGGCCAATTCTTTGGTGTGTGTATCATAGGGGGGGTTGTGCCATAATCGCCACGCTTGGCAGGCGGGTTGGCGATCGCAGTTCTGGCCAAGATGGGTAGAAGACGCTGCTGCCCGTCTTCTTCTGACAATTTTTTTCCTTAGTCGCCTTTTACGACACCCACAGGATAAGAAGGGGGTGGTGCTATTCTAGGCCGGCACCACACGGCACAAGTTAAGCAAAGAGACAACCTAATGTTACGACTAGTCTACTAAAAACCTACCTTTAAAACCTACTCTACTAGACTAGTAGAGTAGGTTTTAAAGCTTCAATCGAAACACCAAGTCCTAGTGAGCGACCAAACTGTGAGAAGGAGACTGCACGAAGTCAACCTACATTCTTGTAGACCACTTCGGGTTCCAGCACAACGACGAGGCAATCGCGGTCGAAGATTACAGTGGGCAAATGAACATTTGGCTAGGAACAATCGACAATGGTCTAGGCTTAGAATAATAACGCATAGAATGATAGTTTCATATCAAACGAACTGTCACAAGTGAGGCAAAAATCAAATTCATGTAGGCTAGTTTTAGTAGTAGGTTAATTTTCGGTTTTAGTGAATATTTATATAAAAATACAAGTTGAAACGCCTT